GAGAGAGAGAGAGAGAGAGAACAAGTGGGGGGAGGGGCAGAGGGAAAAGCAGACTCCCTGCAGAGCAGGCCCCTGGGATCATGACCTGAGCCAAAGGCAGATGCTTAACCGACTGAGCCATTCAGGCACCCTATAGTTTACTTTTCCAACTGGCCTGTAATAAAGGATGTAAAAGGAAAGGAAATGTGTATAAAAGCCATGTCTTTAGAAAGCTGACTGGGAATGGGGTGGCACCTGGGTGGCACAGCCAGTTAAGTGTCAGACTCTTGGTTTGGGCTCAGTCATGATCCCAGGGTCGTGAGATGAAGTCCCATGTTGGACTCTGCACTCAACACGAAGTCTGCTTGAGACTCTCTCTCCCTCCGCCCCTACCTGCTGAGCTTACTCACTCTTACTCTCTAAAATAAATAAACCTAAAGAAAGAAAGAAAGAAAGCTGACTGGGGCAAAAGAATATGTAGTCATCAGTGAAAAAAGTTTTTAATTGAATAGAACTGTTTTTATAGGAAAACATGTATGATAGACCAAGATATCTTAGTCTACATGTATACATTTTGGTTTTGCTTTTCTTTTAGATTGAAGAGCAATCAGACTGTAAGATCCTAGATGGGCACTTTGTTTCCCCCATGGCCCACTATGTGCCTGATATAATGCCAATTGAATCTGTTATTGCAAGGTAAGAATTTTTAATCAGAAAATTAAAGTAAGTTATTTTTTTAATTATAATTATAATAAAATCAATGCAATGTTAATTTGAATTGCTAATATTAATTACAATCATTATTTGGCATTACTCCCATTAAACGTGGGTTGGGGCAGAATAAAAATATAGAGCTTTGTATGTATTCAAACTTAAGTTGTTATCACCTTAAAATAGATTTATAAATATAAAATGATTTATATAAGCCTGATAGAACCACAAAGCTAAAACCTACTGGATAAAAAAGAAATAAATCTAAGTGTACCTTAGAGAAAATCATGAAATCACAGAGACAAAAAGAAGGAACAAAAGGATAATAAAACAATCAGAAAACAATAAACAAAATGGCAATAGTAAATTCCTATCTCTCAATAACCACTTTAAATGTAAATCAACTAAATTCTCTAATCAAAAGACTTAGAATGCCTGAATGGATTAAAAAACAGGACCCAACTATATGCTGTCTATAAGAGATTCACTTCAGGGGCACCTGGCTGGCTCAGTTGGAAGAGCATGGGACTCTTGATCTCAAGGTCGTGAGTTTGAGCCCAACGTTGGGTGTAGAGAATACTTATGTAAGTATATAACCCGCTGAGCTTGCTTACTCTCTCTCTCTGTCTGCTAAAGAGAGACTCACTTAAGATGTAAGGACATACACAGACTGAAAATGAAGGGATGGAAAAAGATATTCCATGCAAATGAAAATCAAAAGAAAGTAGAGGTAGCTATATTATACCATACAAAATAGACTTTAAGACAAAGATTGGTAAGGGACAAGGAAAGTCATTATATAATGATGAAGGGATCAGTCTAATGAGAGGATATAACATTTGTAAATATTTATGCACCCAACATAGGAACTAAATACATAAAAAAAAATTAACAAACTTGAAGGCAGCAATGCAATAACAATAGGAAGCTTTGGTACTTGACTTGCAACAATGGATAGATAATCCATATAGAAAATCAGTAAGAAAACATTGAACTCAAACTATTCATTAGACCAGATGGACTTAACAGACATTCACAAAACATTGTATCCAACAGCATCTTTTAAAATGCACAGGGAGCATTCACCAGGTTAGATCATATATTAGTCACAAAACAAATCTTAATAAATTTAAGAATTTTTTTTTAAGATTTTATTTATTTATTTGACAGAGAGACAGCGAGAGAGGGAGCACAAGCAGGGGGAGTGGGAAAGGGAGAAGCAGGCCTCCTGTGGAGCAGCGAGCCCGATGCGGGGCTCGATCCCAGGACTCTGGGATCATGACCTGAGCCGAAGGCAGACGCTTAACAACTGAGCCACCCAGGCACCCCAAATTTAAGAAATTGAAATCATATCTAGCATCTTTTCCAACCACATTGGTATGAAACTAGAAACGAGAAGAAAACTGGAAAACTGACAAATATGTGTAGATTAAATAGCATGCTATTGAAACACCAGTGGGTCAAAGAAGAAATCAAAAGAGAAATCAAAAACACCTTGGGATTGGGCGACTGGGTGGCTCAGTTGGTTAAGCGACTGCCTTCGGCTCAGGTCATGATCCTGGAGTCCTGGGATCGAGTCCCGCATTGGGCTTCCTGCTCGGCAGGGAGTCTGCTTCTCCCTCTGACCCAACCCCCTCTCGTGCTCTCTCTCTCTCTCTCTCTCTCATTCTCTCAAATAAATAAATAAAATTTAAAAAAAATCTATCAAAAACACCTTGGGATAAATGATAATGGAAGTACAACATACCCAAATTTATGGAGTACAGCAAAAGCAGGTCTAAGAGGGAGGTTCATAGTGATAAACACCTACATTAAAAAAAAAGATCTTTTATAAAAATAAACAACCTAAGTTTACACCAGGAACTAAAAAAAGAACAAACTAAGCCCAAAGTTAGTAGAAGGAAGGAATTAGTATGGATCAGAGATGAAATAAATTAAATAGTGACTCTAAAGATAATAGAAAAGATCAATGAAACTAAGAGTTGTGTTTTTGAAAAGATAAACAAAATAAACAAACTTTTAGCTAGGCTACCAAGAAATAGAGAGGTCTCAAGTAAAATTAGAAATGAAAGAGGAGCCATTACAGCTGATATCACATAAATAGAAAAAATCATGAGACTACTATGAATAATTATACACCAATCAGTTGGATAACCTAGGAGAAATGGATAAATTCCTAGAAATGTGCAACCTACCAAGACTTAATCCTGACGAAATATAAAATCTGAACAGACCAATTACCCATAAGGAGATTTAATCAGTAATCAAAAATTTCCCAAAAAAGACAAGTCGAGGACCAGATGACTACATTGGTGAATTCTGCCAAACATTTAAAGAAGAATTAATGATAATCCTTCTCAAACTCTTTGAAAAAATTGAAGAGGAGGGAACCTTCTAAATTCATTTTATGAGGCCAACATTACTTTATTACCAAAACCAGACAAGGAAGCCATAAGGAAAGAAAATTACAAGCCAGTATTCCTACTGAACATAGATGTAAAAATCCCCAACAAAATACTAGCAATCCAAATTCAACAATACACAAAAAGGATCACATACTATGATTAAGTGGGATTTGGGCGCCTGGATGGCTCAGTTGGTTGAGCAACTGCCTTCGGCTTAGGTCATGATCCTGGAGTCCTGGGATCGAGTCCCACATTGGGCTCCCTGCTCAGTGGGGAGTCTGCTTCTCCCTCTGACCCTCCCCCCTCTCATGCTCTCTCTTTCTCATTCTCTCTCTCAAATAAATAAATAAAATCTTAAAAAAAAAAAAAGGTGGGATTTATCCCAGGGATACAAAGATGGTTCAACATCTGCAAATCACCATGGCATACCACATAGACAAAATGAAGGATAAAAATCATATGTTGATCTCAATGGAAATAGGAAAAACATTTGACAAAATTCAACATCCATTTATGATAAAAACTCTCAACAAACTTTTATAGAAGAAACATATGTCAATATAATAAAGGCTATGTATTAACAAGCTCATAGCTAACGTCATACTAAATGGCGAAAAATTAAAATCTTTTCCTCTAATATCAGGAACAAGACAACTATGCAAACTGTTACCACTTTTATTCAACAGAATATTGGAAGTCCTAGCCAGAGCAATTAGGCAAGAAAAAGAAAGGCATCCAAATCAGAAAGGAAGAAATAAAACTCTCTCTGTTTACACATTACATGATATTATGTATAGAAAAACCTGAAGGCTCCACCAAAAACCTGCTAGAACTAATAAACAAGTTCAGTAAAGTTGTAAGATACAAATGCAATATACAAAAACCAGTTGCATTTCTATACACTAATAACAAGCCTTCAGAAAAATTAGAAAACAATCCTATTTACAGTTGCCTGAAGAAGAATAAAATACCTGGGAATAAATTTAACCAAGGAGGTGAAAGGACCTGTACGCTGCAAACTATAAGACATTGATGAAAGAAACTGAAGATGACACAAATAAATGGAAAGATATTCCATGCTCATGGATTGGAAGAATTAATATTGTTAAAAAGTCCATACGTTTGCAATCTGCGGATGCAATGCTATCTCTATCAAAATTCCAATGGTATTTTTCAAAGAAATAGAAGAAAGGATCTTAAATTTTGTATGGAACCACAAGAAAACCTGACTAGCCAAAGCAATCTTGAATAAGAAGAACAAATCTGGAGGCATCACACTCCCTGACCTCAAACTATTATACTACAAAGCCATAGTAGTCAAAAGAATATGGTATTGGCATAAAAACAGACACATTGATCAATGAAACGGAATAGAGAGCCCAGAAATAAACCCACCGTATATGGTCAATTAATTTATGACAGAAGAACCAAGAATGTACAATGGGTAGCATCTCTTCAATAAATGGTATTAGAAAGACTGGACAGCCACGTGCAAAAGAACGAAACTGGACCAATATCTTGCACCAAACGAAAATTAACTCAAAATGGAGTAAAGACTTGAACAGAATGTTGAAACTATAAAACTCCTGGAAGAAAATATGGGTGGTTACCTCCTTGACATCAGTCTTGGAGTTGATTTTTTGGATCTGACACCAAAATAAAGGCAACAAAAGCAAAAATAAACAACTTGGAACTACATCAAACTAAAAAGCTTCTGCACAATGAAGGAGCAGCCTGTGAAATGGGAGAAAATATTGGCAAATACTTTATCTGATAAGGGGTTAATATTAAAATACATATTTTTAAGATTTTTTAAAGGATTTTCTTTATTTATTTGCCACAGAGAGAGAAAGCACAAGTAGGCAGAGCAGCAGGCAGAGAGAGAGGGAGAAGCAGGCTCTCCACTGAGCAGGGAGCCCGACGTGGGGCTCGATCCCAGGACCGAATGAGCCAATATATTTAAAAATTCATACAACTTGGGGCGCCTAGGTGGCTCAGTCGTCAAGTGTCTGCCTTCGGCTCAGGTCATGATCCCAGGGTCCTGGGATCAATCCCCGCATCGTGCTCCCTGCTCCGCGGGAGACCTGCTTCTCCCTCTCCCACTCCCCCTGCTTGTGCTCCCTCTCTCACTGTCTCTCTGTCAAATAAATAAAATCTTTAAAAAAATAAAAAACATTAAAAAAAACTCCTACAACTTAATAGCAAAAAACAAACGATTAAAAAATAGGCAGAGGGGGATTGCCTGGGTGGCTCAGTCATTAAGCGTCTGCCTTCGGCTCAGGTCATGGTCCCAGGGTCCTGGAATTGAGCCCCGCATCAGGCTCCCTGCTCAGTTGGAAAGCCTGCTTCTCCCTCTCCCACCCCCTGCTGTGTTCCCTCTCTTGCTGTGTCTCTCTCTGTCAAATAAATAAATAGAATCTTTAAAAAAAAATGGGCAGAGGAACTGAATAGACATTTTCCAAAGAAGACATAAATGTGGTCAACAGATACCTGAAAAGGTGCTCAACATCACTAACCATCAAGAAAATGGTGTGGCATAAAAACAGACCCCAAAATACCAAATACCAGAAGCAAAACCACAATGAAATATTACCTCACACCTGTTAGAATAGCTGTTATTAAAAGACAAGAGATAACAAGTATTGGTGAGGATGTGGAGAAAAGGGAACCCTTGGGTACCGTTGGTGGGAATGTAAATTGCTATAGCCACTATGGGAAACACTATGGAAGTTCCTCAAAATTTAAAGTAGAACTACCATATGATCCAGCCATTCCACTTCTGGATATTTATTTGAAGGAAACAAGAATGTTAACTTGGGAAGATACCTGTACTCCTATGTTCATTGCAGCATTATTTATAATAGCTAAAGCATGGAAATAACCTTAGTGTCCATTAGTGGATAAAAGGATAAAGAAGTGGTATATATATATAGAGTGCAGTATCATCCAGACAAAAAAAAGAAGGAAATTCTCCCATTTGCAATTACATGGATGGACCTTGAGACCATTATGCTAAGTGAAATAAATCAGACAGAGAAAGATGAATACCATATGATCTCACTTATATGTAGAATCTAAAACAACAACAACCTTGAACTCATAGATACAGAGAACAGACTGGTAGTTGCCAGAGTTGGAGGTGGCGGGGGGCGGGTGGGTGAAATGGGTGAAAGTGGTCAAAAGGTACAAACTTCCAGTTATAAAATAGATGTCTTGAGGATGTAATAACAGCATGGTGACTATAGTTAATCTAAATATTGTATATTTGAAAATTGCTATGAGAGTAGATCTTTTTTTATTTCATTTTATTTTATATATATTTTTTCTTTTTTTAATTTGAATTCAGTTAATTAACATATAATGTATTGTTTCAGAGGTACAGGTTTGTGATTCAGCAATCTTATATAATACCCAGTGCTCATTGCAACACATACCTTCCCCAGTGTCCATCACCCTGTTATCCCATCCCCCTCCCCCCCTCCCCTCCAGCAACCCTCTGTTTCCTAAGATTAATAAGAGTCTCTTATGGTTTGTCTCCCCCTCTGGTTTCGTCTTGTTTCATTTTTTCCTGTCTTCCCCTATGATCCTCTGCCTTGTTTCTTAAATTCCACATATCAGTGAGATCATATGAGAGTAAGATCTTAAAAAAGTTATCATCACAAGTAAAAAGAATTTTGTAACTATGTGTGGTGATGGATGTTAAATAAACTTCTTGTGGTGATCATTTCACAATATATACATATATCAAATCATTATGTTACACACCTTAAACTAATAATATATGTTTATCTTATTTTTTAAAAAGAGAGATTTTAGAAGCTGAAAATGGGAAGCCGTTAAGATCTATATAGATACTTCACCTACCTCCTTTTCCTGCATGCTTCATGGTCTCTTATCTCTGCTTTATGACCCATGTCATTTCTCTGTGGGTAGGTTAGCTTTCTCTGTTTCTCATGCAACTGACAAAAAATAGCTACCACACCTCTGCAAAGCTTTCATGTCCAAAAGCTTAACAGAATCTAGTCTGTCTTACTTCCACATTACCAAAAGAACAAATCTTATTGCCCTAATTTGGCCTACTCCAGGCCCAATCAACTCGAGCAGAGAAGCTCACATGAACTATACCCATTTATCATGGGGCACTGGAAGATACTCTGTGAAAAGATACTATAATAAGGGCAGACAGACTAATTAATGAGCGTCTGCTAAACAAGTGGTCATTATTACTGTGATAAAAGATTTCTGTTAATTTAAAGCTATTCTCCATAATGAAGCCTCTATATGCACTGCTATGGGACAGAAGGAAGAAAAAATAGCAGTGATATCCAGCATTCAATGGAAAACATTTTTAAATGTTTTCATTTCCCACAAATCATCAAAGTATCGAGAAGCAGGATAGTTCTGAGAATGCAAAACAAAGCAGAGTTGTTAACATTGCTAGTTTTATGAGAATAAAAATTAAGAGTTAGTTGCCATGAGCACAAAACAGAAATAACCATTGAACCCTTCTAAATGTACTTGTCTATGTTCTGTATTAAATAATTTATTGATAACAGATAACTAGGGATATTGTCCCCTGTCCAAGCAAAATAAGCTCAGAATTGAGGTTTATGTTGCCTGAGAACGCAGCTACCTAAGGTCAAACTTTGAGCTGACCAAGTGTAGTATTATACTATGATAATAATTCTAAAACATCTACTGCTAAGGAAATTAAAGACAAATAAGTCAGTTTGGGAAGATAAAGTTCTTGAATGGTGAACTTTATCATTTATGATGAAGTTATGAATGGTGTTGACTTGCACAACAACATAAATGTACTTAATGCCACTGAACCATACAATTTAAAAAAGGTTAAAATGGAAAATTTTATGTTATATGTATTTTATAACAATTAAAAAGTTCTATAGGAAAAAAATATTAAATGAAAGGCGAAATACTATAGTACGAAGATGACAAATAGAGAAAACTGTTTTTTTCTGCCGTGGATTGCTTTTACGCTCCAAATTGAAAAACAAAATTGATAACAAACTATTTTATTGATACATTAACAGCTTGTACAACTAAGTATTATTCCTACAACGAGAAGAAGCAGAGCTATCTAAAGAGTTGTTTTTTTCTAAGACTTACTCATATATATTAATATCTTGGCAAAATAAGAATACTTCATTATCCATTTATAAAGTTGTGGTATTGAACAAGGTAAAAATGATTACAATAAATTCTATGTTTATATTGTACTGAATGTTTTAATATGCTAACACAAAGCAAATTTATATCTTAGTTGCCTTTGTGCAAACATTAATTAATCATAATTTTTATGTCAAAATTCTGAATGATCTTTTCTCCCAAATAATTTAATTATGTAACTTTTACAAATTTGAAAGTTTGTGTTAAACAACCTTTTAAAGAGAATTTCACAGATCTGTTTTATTTTAAATAGGTTCCAACTTATTGTTCCTAAAGAATGGAACAGCAAATATAAACCTGTATGCATTCATCTTGCTGGAACAGGAGATCATGTAAGACTCTATTATAATGCCTTAATCCCTAATTTGTTAACATATTGTGTAACACAGATGTGGTTATTATATTCTTTAAGTATGCCATCTTTTCTTTCCTTAGCATTACTGGAGACGACGAACACTAATGGCTCGTCCTATGATTAAAGAAGCCCGAATGGCTTCTTTGTTGTTAGAAAACCCTTATTATATCCTTTTGTGATACCTAGAAATCTTTCATTTATTGATTAATAGATTTAGTCATCAAAAGGAATGATAGATAGTAACCAGCTTTTCTAAACCAGTTAAATTTAGTTGTCAGTTCAGAAAATATTTAAGAAGCAAGAGTGAAAAATTGTTTCATGCCTTTAAAAAACCAATGTAGGGATTATGGTTCTACTGTATAATAAAGTTAAATTGTACTTCTTTTTCTTATAAAACTTATGCTGGATTTTAATATTAAGTCAAATGTTTGCTATTAAGGAAACCCTCATGTTTTAAATGCATTTACATTTAAGTCATCAGTTGAGGTTTAGAACAGTACTTAACTTAACTTTCAAGATGACGTCAGACTATTCCCAGAAGAAGAAACGAAAGTGATGCACAGATATAAAGAAATGTTCAACGTTGCTGGTAATAAGAGAAATGTAAAGTTAAAGCAACATTACCAAAGATTTAAAAAATAAAACACAATAGTTGTGAGGCTATTGTAAAAAAAAAATAGGCATTCTTATTATTAATGGCTGTGAAAACCAGTTTAATCCTTTGGGAAAGCATTTTTACCATCTGTAACAGGAGCCTTAAAAAATTTTATGTCCCTGGACAGTGATTTTGATTCTTGGAAATTTATTCTAAGGATAAAATACTAAGAAAAGAGCAGCGCCTGGGTGGCTCAGTCAGTTAAGTGGACGACTGGATTTTGGCTCAGGTCATGATCTCACGGTTGTAAGGTTGAGCCCTGCATTGGGCTTAGGCGCTGGGCATGGAGCCTGCTTAAGATTCTCTCTCTCCCTCTCCCTCTGCCCTGCCCCCATCTCTTAAAAAAAAAAAAAAAAAAACTAAGAAAAGAGAAAGTGATAGAAACCAAAAAAGATATTTTTATAGCTTTATTTATGATAGTAATAAGACATTAGGAATAACTTAAATGTCTAATAATAGAAAAAGTTGAGTAAATTGTGGCTCATAATATTAGAATATTATGCAGTTGGTTATGTTTTTTGCTCTACCACTTTAGTATCTGTATGACCTCAGATGTGTTACTTAACCTTTAAACTTCAATTTTTTTGTTGGTAAATTGGAATAATCTCTGAAGTTATTCCTAGTATTAAGTATCTAATACTGTCTAGAATGGTGCCTGGTAAATAACAAACATTCAGTAAATTTTAATGGTTAGTTATTATTAAAAAGTTTACAGTAATTTATGAAAAGTACAGTGCAAAAATAGGAAACAAAACTCTGTGGTATGACAGAAAAACCTAAAAACAGAAAATCCATTAAAAAAACTGCATAAGGAAAAAATACTGGAACTACACCAAAATATTAATATGGTTGTCTGTAGATGAAGTAGTTTTTCTTCTAATATGCTTTTCTGTATTTTCTAGATTTTCTATAATCAACATATAAAAATGAAAAAAAAACTTCATTTACAAAATTAAGTTGAAGATTGCACAACCCTTTGGATATACTAAACATATTAAACTGTACCCTTAAAATGGGTGAATTGTATGGTATGTGATATCAATAAAGCTGTTTTTTAAAAAGAAAAAAAAAATAAGTTGAAAACCCTGAGAACTCAACAGCATATTTGAGATAACTAGAAAATAGTTATTTCAGTATCAAATTGTGTTCAAAAGTAACTATTTTGCTTAAGTTCATGTGTTTTGAGACACATTATTTAATTATTTTAAAACTTTCTCTTTGACCCACATTTTTAAATGGCTGCAGGAAGCCCAAGGACCAAATGTAAGTATATATCACCTTCACTTTTGTAGTCTTTATACCAAATTAAATTAAAATTTTTGTTAGTCTTCAGTTAATCATTTCTAAATTTAACAAGCAAATATTATTTGGGGAAAAATTCTGTTATAAAACTGTAGTAGGAATGTTGACTTATTTTTATTTTAAGCTTTTTCACTTAACATGTTTGATAAAGAGATAAATAAGAAATTTTAATAGACTGTTGGAAGATATGTTTTATTTATAAAATAGTAACTGAAAAAATGTTAAAACATTTTCCTTCTTAAAGTACATTTACTTCGTAAAATTAAACACCACTCTTTATTCTTACAATTTATGGTATGGGTAATCTAAAGATAATCTCTTTTTGGTCTTTCAAAATGGTGAACTTTGAAGGCGATTTTTTTGCATTTCCATAATCTATATATTGTGTTTGGTTTTGATTCATTCAATAAATGTTTGATCTAAGACACTGGGAAGATAGCAACAAAAAGACAAGGTCCTTACTGTCATAGAGCTTATATTCTAGGATGGGAGATAGGTAAAAATAAGTAAGATGATTTTGGATATTTACCAATGCCATGAAGAAAATAAAGCAGGGAAATCAAGTAAAGAATAATAGAGGGTAAGTGCAGAGTTGGAAAAGTATTAGGTATGAGGACATGACATATTGGGAAGGAGCCACCAAGGTGAAGACCTGGAGGAAGCCTCAGAGAAGGACGAATAAATGAAAAGGCTGATATAAGCATGAGGTGGGAGAGTAGTATAAGATGAGGGCAGAAATGAGGGCAAGGGCCAGATTTATGAAGAGCCATGTGCTTCGAATTTTACTGTCAATGCAGTTGGAAATCTTTGGAAGACTTTAAGCAGAGGAATGATCTGATTTGTGCTTTTAAAGGCTCATTTTGGCTTACTGGGACAAGAGTAGCAGCAGAAAAATTAAATAGGAAGCTATTGCAATAATGCAGGGGAAAAACAACTTTAAGATAGTGGCAGTGGAAATGGAAAGAAGTTCTAATGGATTTGAGATATAATTTAGAAGTTGAAATAAGACTTGTTGATAAATTATGAATATTGTTGGTAAGAAATCAAAAGTTCTGACTTGCATGTGTTAAATTAGTGATGTCTGTTAGATCTGCAGGTGAAGTTAAGTAGGGAGTTGGAAAGTTCTGGAGAGGTAGATTTAGAAGTCACATGTTCTATGTGGTCATGACATGGAAGAGATATAGATGAAAGTGGGGTACATTGGAAGCAAACCTATATCCTATGAAGGATAGTTTAGAATAAACTTAGTGAGGGGCACCTGGGTGGCTTAGTCTGTTAAGTGTCTGAATCCTGATCTCAGCTCAGGTCTTGATCTTGGTGTTCTAAGTTCGAGTTCAAGCCCTGCATTGGGCTCCATGCTGGGTTTGGAGCCTACTTTAAAAAAAAATTAATAAGTAAATATATATATATGCATATATATATATATGTATAAGTTATACACACACACATATATAAAAGAATAAACTTTGTGAAATGTGAAAATTAATGTCCAAGCTAAATAGTTAAAGAATTCTTACTCTGGGGATGCCTGGGTGGCTCAGTTGGTTAAGCGTCTGCCTTTGGCTCAGGTCGTGATTCCAGGGTCCTGGGATCAAGTCCTACATCGGGCTCCTTACTTGGCAGGGAGCCTGTTTCTCCCTCTGCCTGCTTCTCCCTCTGCTTGTGCTCTCTCTCACACAAATAAGTAAATAAAATCTTTAAAAAAAAAAAAAAGAAGAATTCTTACCCTGGAACCAAGTTCTGAATTCAGAACTAGGCATGTCATTTTTACCCTGTTTATTGGTGCTTAAAAACCCAAAAGAGTTTATTGAGTTGTAGTTAGAGGCAGCATGGGTTTAATGGAAAGTCTTTGACTTTGGAGTCACACAGACATAGGTTGCAATCATAACTTGCCATTTAATAATTGTATGACCTTGGTCTAAGTATCTGTTACCTACCTCATTTATAAAGTGGAAATACTATATAATTTCTTCCATACAGAATTGATGTGAGAATCATGTTTATAAAATATTCTATCACATATCATATATCCAAGAAATATAGTATTTGATTTTTTTCAAGTAATTCATTGTAAGAAATGGCTTGCAATTTAAATAATGAACAATTATTTTTTATCTCTTTTTAAAAGGCATCTTATGCCTATTTTCAGTGCTTAAACATTTTGAAACTGGGTCCGCTGTTATAAATAACTACTGTCCCAGAACCCCACATCAGTAACTTTTATATAAAAGAGCAAACTGAGGTGTACCTGAGAATTCAAACTTCCATACCAGGCCAAAATAAATAATCAGGGGAATTATGTGATAATAAGTAGAAAATTGGAATGATGATAAGAAACAAATATAAGGATACATGGGCTCTTTTATGAGGAAGTACATATATGATCTGTTTTGACAGTTTCCAGAAATTCTGCCTTATGGAACTTAGATCTCTGAGAGGATGTGGTAGAACAGTGGATATAAAAGCTCTTTGGGGGCCAGAATTCTGTTTTTCACAACTTGGCATTCTTATGACACCTAGATGTTTGTGCATAATCACTCTACATATACATATAATAAACAACCATTGATAAAATGAATTTTTGTACACCTTGACAAGGTTTCATCCAGAAGCCAATCATGTACGTCTTTATATGAACTAAATTTTGAAAATAGATTCTAATTTGGACACTTCAGTAATAAGATAGTATTATTTTTTATCATTATACAGGCATACCTTGGAGATATTGTGGGTTCAGTTGCAGACCACCACAATAAAGGGAATATTGCAATAAAGCAACTTAAATGAATTTTTTGGTTTCCAGTGCATATAAAAATTACATTTACACTATACTGTAGTCTGTTAAGTGTGCAATAGCATTATGTCTAAAAAACCAATGTACATACTTTTATTTAAAAATATTTTATTGCTGGGGCACCTGGGTGGCTCAGTCATTGAGCATCCGACTCTTGATTTCAGCTTGGGTCATGATCTCAGGGTCACGGATCAAGCCCTGTATCTGGGCTCCCTGCTCAGTAGGTAGTCTGCCATTCTCCATCTCCTGCTGCCCCCCATCTCTCTCTCACTAAAATAAATAAATGGATCTTTAAAAAAATATATTTTATTACTCCCAGTTACAGAGTGAATAAGTCATAGGAATAAAAGGTACAGCATAGGGAATATAGTCAGTGGTATTGTAATAACGCTATATGGTGACAGATGGTAGCTACACTTGTGGTGTGCATAGTATAACATATAGGCTTGTCAACTCACTGTGTTGTACACCTGAAACTAATGTAACATTGTGTATCAACTATACTTCAATAAAATAAAATAAAATAAAATAAGCTTTATTGCTAAAAAGTGCTAACCATTATCAGAGCTTTCAGCAAGGCATTATCTTTGCTGGTGGAGGGTCTTGCCTCAATGTTTATGGCTGCTGACTGATCAGGGTGGTGGTTACTGAAGGTTGGGTGGCTGTGGTAATTTCTTAAAACAATAATGAAGTTTGCCACATCAATTTACTCTTCCTTTCACAATTTCTCTGAAGCACGTGATGCTGTTTCATAGCATTTTTACCCACAATAGAACTTCCAAAATTGGGAGTCCATCCTCCCAAACCCTGCCACTGATTTATCAACTAAGTTTATGTAATATTCTAAATCCTTTGTTGTCATTCAGCAATTTTCACAGCATCTTCACCAAGTTTAGATTCCATCTCAAGAAAGCATTTTCTTTGCTCATCCATAAGAAGCAATTCCTCGTCCATTAAAGGTTTATCATGAGATTGCAACAATTCAGTCTCATCCTCAGGCTTTACTTCTAATTCTAGTTCCTTTGCTATTTCTACCACATCTGCTGTTACTTACTCCACTGAAAGTCAAAGTCATCCATGAGGGTTGGAATCAAATTCTTCCAAACTCCTGTGAATGTTGATATTTTGACCTCTTCCTGTGAATCACAAGTGATCTTACTGGTATCTAGAATGGTGACCCCTTTCCAGAAAATTTTCAATTGACTTTGCCCAGATCCATCAGAGGAGTCACTATCTATGGTAGCTATAGCCTTATGAAATGCAGTTCTTAAATAATAAGACTTGAAAGTCAAAATTACTCCTTTACCCATGGACTGTAGAATGGATGTTGTGTTAGCAGGCCTGAAAATACTAATCTTGTTATACATCCCCATCAGAGCTCTTGGGTGACCAAGTGCATAGTCAGTGCAGTGCAATGCAGTCATGTTTTGGAAGGAATCTTTTTTTCTGAGCAAGTAGATCTCAACAGTGGGCTTAAAATATTCTGTTACCATGTTGTCAACAGATGCACTGTCATCTAAGCTTTGTTCCATTTATAGAGGAAGGCATAGTAGATTTAGCATAATTCTTAAGAGCTCTAGGATTTTTGAAATGGTAAATGAGTCCTGGTTTCAACTTAAAAGACACCAGCTGCATTAGCCCCTAACAAGACAGTCAGCCTTTCCTTTGAAGCTTTGAAGCCAGGCATTGACATCTCCTCTCTAGCTATGAAAGCCCTAGATGGCATCTTCTTCCAACAGAATGCTGTTTTTCAATATTGAAAATCTGTTGTTGAGGGGCGTCTGGGTGGCTTGGTCAGTTGGGCATCTGCCTTCTGTTCGGGTCATGTTCCCAGGGTGGGATTGAGCCCCGCGTCTGCCTCCCTGCTCAGCGGGGAGCCTACTTCTCCCTCTCCCTCTGCTGCTCCCCCTGCTTGTGCTCAATCTCCCTCCCTCTCTCTCTCTCTCTCTGTCAAATGAATAAATAAAATCTTAAAAAAAAGAAAGAAAAAAAGAAAAAATCTATTGTTGGATTTGGTGGCTCAGTTGGTTAAGCATCTGACTTCTGATTTTGGCTCAAGTCATGATCTCAGGGTCATGGGATCGAGCCCTGTGTCAGGCTCCGCGCCCTGTGGGGAGTCTGCTTAAGGATTCTCTCCTCCCTCTCCCCCCCTCCACTCGCCTGCTCTCTCTCTCAAATAAAATAAATAAATAAATAAATAAATAAATAAGAAAATCTGTTGTTTAGTGTAGCCCCCCTCATTAATTATCTTAGCTAGATCTTCTGGATAACTTGGCTGTAGCTTCCACATCAGCACTTACTGCTTCAGCTTGCACTTTTATGTTACAGAGATGGCTTCCTTTCTTTTCTTTTCTTTTTTTTTTTTTTACGATTTATTTTATAGAGAGTGTGTGAGAGTGGGGGAAGGAGCAGAGGGAGAGAGAGAGAATCTCAAGTGGACTCCCTGCTGAGTGTGGAGCCTGAAGTGAGACTTAATCTAGGGACCCTGCATTCATGACCTGAGCTGAAATCAAGAGTTGGTCGCTTAACCAACGGAGCCACCCAGGTGTTCTGATCCCTTCCTTTCTTAAACCTCATGAAGCAACCTCTTTTTTTTTTTTTTTTAAGATTTTATTTATTTATTTGACAGAGCACACACAGGCAGGGGGAGTGACAGGTAGAGGGAGAGGGAGAAGCAGACTCCCCACAGAGCAGGGAGACGGATACAGGACTTGATCCCAGGACCCTGGGATCATGACCTGAACCCAAGGCAGCAGCTTAACCAACTGAGCCATGCAGGCACCCGAAGCAACCTCTTTTAGCTTCAAACTGTTCTGCAGCTTCCTCACCGCCTCAGCCTTCATAGAATTGAAGAGAGGTAGGGCCTTCCTCTGGAATAGGCTTTGGCTTAAGGGAATGTTATGGCTGTTTCGATTTTCTATCCAGACCGGTAAAACTTTCTCTGCATCGGCAAGAAGACTATTTTGCTTTCTATTTCTGTTTTGTGGGTTTACTGGAGTAGTACTTTTAATTTCCTTCAAGAACTTTTCCTTTGCATTTACAACTTGGCTAACTGTTTGCTGCATGAGGCCTAGCTTTTGGCCTATCTCAGTTTTTGACATCCCTTCCTCACTGAGTTTGATCACTTCTAGCTTTTGATTTCTATTATTTATTTGTTTGTTTGTTTGTTTTTTAAGATTCTTTATTTATTTGACAGAGAGAGACACAGCAAGAGAGGGAACACAAGCAGGGGGAGTGGAGGAGGGAGAAGCAGGCTTCCCGCGGAGCAGGGAGCCTGATGTGGGGCTCGATCCCAAGACACTGGGATCATGACCTGAGCTGAAGGCAGACACCCAACGACTGAGCCACCCAGGCGCCCCCCCAAAAAAAGATCATTTAAGTACTTCTAAGGAAATGTATTTATATGTAAAATTAATTTCTAAAGACAGGAAATTCTAGTTGAATTGGTCTTTAAGTTAATCAAAACATGTATTTTTATAAAAAATTACTTTTCCAACCAACTTTTAATTATAAAATAAATAAGTCATGGATTTGAAAAGTACAACATGGGGAACATAGTCAAGAATATTGTAATAACATTATATAGTGACAGATGGTGACTACGATTACCATGGTGAGCACTGAGTAATGTGTGTGTGTGTGTGTGTGTGTGTGTGTGTGTGTATGAAACTAATATGATGTATGTTAATTATACTACAATTTAAAAAAATTTTCTGGTTGATTCATAAATTGTGTATTTTGCGGAAATAAGCAACATATTTAAGATTTTGGAAATACATGAGTATTAGGTTAAATTCTTTTACATTGCTTTTTAAAAATTTTTATGCTTTAAGTTCTATTGTAATAATAGGAGGGACAACTATGAATTGGTTTTTTTAACAGTTTTTTTTTTTAAGATTTTTTATTTATTTATTTGACAGAGAGGCACAGCGAGAGAGGGAACACAAGCAGGGGGAGTGGGAGAGGGAGAAGCAGGCTTCCCGCCAAACAGGGAACCTGACGTGGGGCTCGGTCCCAGAACCCTGGGACCATGACCGGAGTGGAAGGCAGACGCTTAATGACTGAGCCACCCAGGCGCCCCTTTAAGTTTTTTTAAGTGCTATCAAATAAATATTATTTCCTGGGCTTCAAAATAGTTAAATAATTGAAATTCAATAAAGATTCAATAAAAAGCATATGTAGCTCTTAAAAATAAGTTTTAATTAATTGTAGAATAATGTTAGCACTCTAATTCCATCAATTTTTTCCATTATTTTACTTAGATAACACGTCCTTTAAAAGAAAAACATGAAGTCTGGCTGCCTGTTGTAAATTTGCATATGTTAAAATGTAAATACATAAATAATTTTCTCTTTTGTCTTGTGAGGCTAGAAGGTCCAGCTTAAAAAACGTGTCTGACCTTTTTGTGATGGGAGGAGCTCTTGTTTTAGAATCTGCAGCTCTCTTGCACTGGCTAGAGAGAGAGGGTTATGGACCTCTAGGAATGACCGGAATATCCATGGGAGGACATGTAAGCCTTTTGATTTCAACTGATATTTAATCGTGATTATGTTCATAAAATCTAGAGAATGTAGTTATTTTAAAAATTTACTTTAGGTATGGAATTAATTTTAGTTTTGGCAAAAGCAGAAACAGGTTTCAAATTTTTGTTCCAATTATAATGATTTTTTTGGTATGATTTATGTAGACCTTGATTGTACTACTTATTTCACAGGTATAGCTCAGATATTGGATTTAATATTTTATTAAAAGTTGATTTTTATAAAACTTAACTTTTCATATCTCAAGTATAAATATGCTGTTAAATTGGTAAAGATAACGAATTTGGAAAATACTTTTCATTTATCTCTTATCTCTATCCCCAGGGTCCCCAACCTATTTTACTTTGTCTTCTAGAGTGTACTAAAACAGCCTCCTAATTGGTTTCTCTGTGTCTCATCTTTTCTCTCGTTAATCTTCTTCTAAGTTTTTCTCCACACCATAACTAGAGTGATTTTCCTAAATCTCATCTGTGTTCTCTCCTACTTAAAACCTGCCAAAGGCTTGCTGTTATTGCACTGGGCTGTAGCTATGCTAGGTGCTAGCATCCCTCACGGGCCCTCTCATTCCTAGCCAAAATAGCAGTTTGCCCTCCTGGTTCCAATCCAGAGCTTACTTCCTATGAGGAGCTCTTCCTGACTCCCAGCCTAACCCCAGACTGTACTTCATCTCTCATTAGTGCTTATTTCATTGCACTGTGATTACTTGTTTAGCAGTTTGTTCTCTCCATGAAGCAGTTGGTTCAGTAAGGGCTCGTAAATATGCTCTAGTTTGTTACCTGGACATATTAGCCACTCAGGACATTTTGAAAGAAACAAGATTTTTGTAAGTCATTTGAATTGTAAAATTAAGTTCAAAAACTGATTAAAATTCGAAAAAATTATTACACCGTGAACTTGAAGGGTGGAAAGGATTTCTTTTCCTACCTAGTAGTGTTTCTATTTTTATGACGTAGATCGGGGTCTTATAACTTTCACCTGAATTACTTCCTATACTGGTTTCCCCACCTCAGGTCTTACCTGCTCTGATCAATCCTATAAACTGCTATTATTTTAGCTTCCTTGAATCACTTCTTTGACAGTGCTGCTCCTTTGCTCAGACCTCTTTGTTAATTCCCCATTATATACAGAGCAAAAGGGACCTCTAATCTGATACTGTCCAGTGTTTCCAGACCTAACTATCTCTCCCACCCCATTGGCTACATATGCCCTATTGAGCAGCCAAACTAAAGTATATTGGCCATTTTCCTACCTGCCTTTGCACTTTTTCATCATCTTGCCTTTGATCCTACTGTCTTCTTTAAATGGAAGACAAGATCTCGTCTTTCATTTCCCCTGAAAGACAGCCAGTTCATGAAGCCTTCTCTCATTCCTCTAACCAAAAATAACTTTTCCCTTTTCTAAACACACATATTACATTACTTTATATCACTTATATAATCTGTTTGTAGTTCACCAAATTCTTGGCATTTTTCAGTCAGCCCCAAAGGTCTGAGGTTTTATAGTTGTGATTTTGCTGTACCTGAGCAAGTCATTTAGGTAATGAATATGATCAGCCTGCTGCCCAGCATCTACATTTCCGCTTGTTTGCTCTATATTTATCCAGTAGAAAGTAGTTCTCTATTAAGGGTCTTGAGATTACTTAAAATTCTCCAATGTACTTTAATTATTTTCTAAGGGGGAAGTTATATGTCGTTGAATTTGTGATTTGGGGAGTTTCAGAAGGTTGCTAGACATTCTCAAGAGCATTTAGAGATTTTTTTTTAAGATTTTATTTTTAAGTAATCTCTATACCCAACGTGGGGCTCGAACTTACAACCCTGAGGTCAAGAGTCCTGTGTTCTACTGACTGAGCCAGCCAGATACCCCAAGTATTTAGAGATTTTGTGTTCATATCTTATCTCACCAATTACTACCCAGACTACTTCTTAATATCAAATACTTTTCATTTTAATGAATAGAAATTTAAACAGAAGCTCTCTAACTGACTGTTAAACATATTGCAGATGGCTTCCTTAGCAGTATCCAACTGGCCTAAGCCCATGCCATTGATTCCATGTCTGTCTTGGTCCACAGCATCTGGGGTCTTCACTACGGTAATTTTAATTGCAATTAATTTTAGATAGCTATATATATAATTAAAGTTGTTTTGGGGTTCCCAAAACCACCTCCAGGTTTGCTGATTCTCTAGAAGGTTTCACAGGACTTACCATATAGTCTGATTCATGACTAAGACTAATGATATCAAAAGGATACAATACAGAATCAGCAAAGGGAAAAGGCACATGGGGCAAAATCCAGAGGAAATCAGGCACCACCTTCCATTGGAATTTCACAGGATGTGTTTAATTCGTCCAGCAACGGGTTGTGATAGTATGTGTGAAATGTCCATCAGTGAAACTCAGTTGAGTCTGGCAGCCCAGGCTTATCAGGAGTCAATCATTTAGGCACCCTCTGTCTCACATGTACGAAAATTCCAGATGGAAAGTACCTAGTCAGCAGAAACTACATTGTACAAGCAGTTTGGGCACAGTGACCCACTTTGTCATTTAGAAAGTTGTCTATTGGGGTTAGGAACTGTTTATTAGTCAAGTTCCCAGATTCCAATCAAGGGCCAACATTGCAAGCAGGGCTTTCAAAGATAGGAAGTTTCAAGCCTGCTATGTTTACTCTTTTCTGCACACTAATAATTAAAATCAGAATTATTGGACAAAATGTTTTATGGAGTGATTTGATCTAAACATAGTTTGTTATTTCAGGGTGTGCTAAGTAAATCGATTAATTGGAGGGAGCTAGAAAAGCAGTATTACACACAGACAGTTTATGAAGAAGAAATTATTCACATGCTTGAATACTGTGGAGTAAGTATTTTTAATCTCTGCATAACATTGGGGGGAAAAGTTGATTGTGTTTAATGATTCAGATTTTTAAAAAGAATCACAAATTTGTTAAAAAGCAGTCATACTTTTTAGTTTTTAAGATCTTCATTTTAAAATAAAACATAGGTATAAAAAATCACGCAGTGCAAATGTATGGCTCATACCAATTGAACAGAAATTGACCACCTAGGGGTACCTGGATGGCTCAGTCAGTTAAGTGTCTGCCTTTGACTCAGGTCATGATCCCGGGGTCCTGGGATTGAGCCCCGTGTCGGGCTCTCTGCTCATCAGGGAGCCTGCTTCTCCCTCTGCCTCTGCCGCTCCCCCTGCTTGTGCGCTCTCACTCTCTCTTTCTCTCTACCAAATAAATAAAATCGTTAAAAAATAAATAAATAAATAATTGTTTAAAAGATTAAAAAAAAGAAAGAAAGTGACCACCCAGATAGTCCAGGATGGCAGGGGAATAGGAGACCTTAGTTTTGTCTGGTCCCAGGAATTCAGCTAGATACCTATCAAATCATTTTGAACACCTGTGAACTCAACTGGAGATCTAAGAAAATAGCTGCAATTCTACAAATAGGAAAGCAACCACTTTCTGCAAGAATGACAAGATGGAAAAACTCACCTCAAAAAAGAGAACAAGAGGCAGTACTGACTGCCAGGGACCTAATCAGTATAGATATAAGTAAGATGTCAGAAATAGAGTACAGAATACTGATTATAAAGATACTAGCTGGGCTTTAAAAAACAGTAGAAGATCCCTTTCTGGAGAACTAAAAGAACTAAAATCTAATCAAGTCAAAATAAAAAAAAGGCTGTTAATGAGATGCAATAAAAAATGGAGGCTCTAACTGCTAGGATAAATGAGGCAGAAGAGAGAATTAGTGACATATAAGACCAAACAATGGAGAATATAGAAGCTGAGAAAAAGATAAGCTACTGGATCATGAGGGGAGAATTTGAGAGATAAGTGATACCATAAAGTGAAACAATTTTAGAATAATTGGGATCCCAGAAGAGGAAAGAGAGAGGAGGGAGTGCAGAAGATATATTGGAGCAAATTATAGTGGAGAACTTCCCCAATTTGGGGAAGGAAACAGGCATCAAAACCTAGGAGGCGGAGAGAACCCCCTCAAAATCAGTAAAAATAGGTCAACACCCCAGCATATAATAGTGAAACTTGCAAATCTCAGAGACAAAGAGAAAATCCTGAAAGCAGCTCAGGGTAAGTAGTCTGTAACCTACAAAGGCAAGACCTATCCACAGAGAACTGGTGGGCCAGAAAGGACTGGCATGATGTATTCAGGGTGCTAAATGAGAAAATATGCAGCCAAGAATACTTTATCCAGCTAGGATGTCATTCAGAATAGGAGTAAAAAAGCTTCCAGGACAAACAGAAACTAAAAGAATGGTGATCACCAAACCAGCCCTACAAGAAATATTAAAAGGGATCCTTTAAATGAAGAGAGCCCAAAAGTAACACAGACCAGAAAGGAACAAAGACAATATATAGAAACAGTGACTTTACAGGTATAACAATGGCACTAAATTCATATCTTTCAGTAGTTACTCTGAATGTAAATGGGCTAAATGCCCCAATCAAAAGACACGTATCAGATTGGATTAAAAAAAGCAAGACCCATCAATACGCTGTCTTCAAGAGACTCATTTTAGACCCAAAGACACCTCCAGATTTAAAGTGAGGGGATGGAAAACCATTTATCATGCTAATGGACATCAAAGGAAAGCTGGGGTGCCAATCCTTCTTTCAGACAAACTAGATTTTAAACCAAAGAGTGTAATAAGAGATGAGGAAGGACACTGTATCATAATTAAAGGTTCTATCCAACAAGAAGATCTAACAGTTGTAAATATTTATGCCCCTAACATGGGAACAGCCTATTACATAAGCCAATTAATAACAAAATCAAAGACACACATCAATAATACTACAATAATAGTAGGGGACTTTTAACACCCCACTCACTGCAGTGGACAGATCATTTAAGCAGAAACTCAACAAGGAAACAAGGGCTTTGAATGACACACTGGGCCGGATGGACTTCACAGATACATTCAGAGCATTCCATCTATAGCAACAGAATACATATTCTTCTCGAGTGCACATAGAACATTCTCCAGAATAGATCACATACTGGATCACAAGTCAGGTCTCATCTGGTACCAAAAGATTGGAATCATTCCCTGCATATTTTCAGGCCACAGTGCTTTGAAACTGGAACTCACTCATAAGAAGAAATTTGGAAAGAACTCAAATACATGGAGGCTAAAGAGCATCCTAGTAAGAATGAATGGGTCAACCAGGAAATTAAAGAAGAATTTAAAAAATTCATGGAAACAAATGAAAATGAAAACACATCTATTTAAAACCTTTGGGATGCAGCAAAGGCAGTCCTAAGAGGGAAGTATATAGCAATACAAGCCTTTCTCAAGAAACAAGAAAAGTCTTAAATATACAACCTAACCTTATACCTAAAGGAGCTGGAAAAAGAACAGCAAATAAAACCTAAACACACCAGGAGAAGAGAATTAATAAAGATTAGAGCAGAAATCAATGAAATAGAAACCAAAAGAACAGTAGAACAGATCAATGAAACTAGGAGCTGGTTCTTTGAAAGAATTAATAAGATTGATAAACCCCTGGCCAGACTTATCAAAAAGAAAAG